CTATCTATCTATCTATCTATCTATCTATCTATCTATCTATCTATCTACTGTATCTATCTATCTATACATCCATGCATACATCCATACACACATCCATACTCACATCCATACACACATCCATACATACATCCATACATACGGGAACAGTGAGTGGGAAAAAGCGAAGCAGTTATTTCTATAGAGGTGCCAGATTCCGAAAATAATTACAGAGGAATATTGAATCCATTATTTTCTATCGATGAATGACAGTGTATCACATTTATCCTCATTTCTGGTCTCAAAGGACAAAATAACTTTTTTGTCCTTTGAAAAACATAGTTCATTTCTTTTAATCAACTTTGAAAAATGGCATCTTTTCAAAGTTCAACACAGAATGCTGCGAATGTTATTGAGTCATAGTCTCCGACAGCAAGATGAACAAACAATATATAAAATAGAAAAAAACACATCAGGAGATACCTCTGTAACTATAGTTGACTGGTAGATTTCTTTGCTGTAAGACCACCCATCCCGGCACTCCTCCAAAGGAATTTCACTCACGTTCACGTCCACACTTGGAATTATGTTCAATTGAGAGTAATTCCTGACAGTCTCCAGATGAAGTCTCTGGCAAGAGCTGCGTCTCGTCGTGCCATCGACGGTTTCCATTGGTATCGTAACATTTCTCCACATCTCACTGATGCTGTAATTTTCTGGAATATGGCATTCGTGAGGTGGGGTATCACCAACGAAAACTATGTAACTACCGGTTAATCCATTTGGAATGACGCTGACCGCCAATGATAAAAAAACCATGCGTTGAAAAGGTCCCCAAGATCCAAGGAAAGACGTGATGGAGTCATAGTCTCTTACTTTCATGCTGTCCATGACCACAATAGGATTTAGATATTTAAATCAGAAGTCAAGCCAGTCCTTTGTAAGTACTGAAACACACGGAGGAGTGTGTCCTATGCTGTGATATGCCAATAGGGTAACCAGATAAAGTTTGAGCTCACGTTGTACTGCCTCCTCATGCTAAATGTGGGAGGTTACACAGTCCCACAGAGTGCCCTAAAATGTGTTGGACCCTCTTTTTTCTTGGCATGATTAAACTGTTATCAAGAAGGTCTTCAAAGGCCAATTAGACTTAGAAATAATCTTTTAAACACAGGTAATGGACCTAACATAATTCTGTAACAGGTGGAGTAAGGATAAAACATTTAAAGAACCTTCTAGGAGTTGGTTAATCGTTACCAAGAAGAGGCAAAAGAGTTATATAGCTGTTCACTGTATCATTCACCAAGACAAAAGTCATTTATTGAAAGCAGATGGTTTAAAGGTAAAGAGAGGACAACTCTGCTAAAGAGTGCAGACATGGCTGTCCATAAACTAATATATGAGTACCAAAGTCCTGAGGGACTGCAAACTAGGAGGAGTTGAATCAAATACCATCAGAAAAAGATGTCAAAGTCTTAGAAAGAGAGCAGCATTTGATTTGAATGTTAATCAAAATATTTGATAACAATTTTTCCAGTGAAACAATCTTGCCAGGGTTTGTTCCATCCATCCATCCGTTTTCTATAACGATGATTCCTGGGTCGCAGGGGGCTGGAGCCTATCCCATCTGACAAGGAGCAAGAAGTGGTCACCCAGAGACAAACAACCACCCACACTCACTCAATCCTGAGGGTATTGTGGAGTGCCTGCCAGGGTTCCATAATATTTACTGAATTAAAACGATAAGGTCTTCGTACTTTGAACCTGGTGTTAGCAGATTACACTGTTATTTACGTCGTTCATTATGAAAGAATATTAATTCACATTCCAGAGTTTGAATTCCAGATATCGTTTTAAGACTTGAATTAACTTAATGTACCAGTGTCCTCATGCAGATTGTGTTTATGCTGGTCACCATAAACTTGGAGCAATTTTGGTGTTCAAAATATCAGTGATGACCTTTACCTTTACAAAGGTGCATGACATACACTTTGTCTGTAGATAATAAATCTCATAGTTGCAATTAAAATTACTGGTCAAGGTAGATCATCTTTTTCCCCTGGCAACAACAATGGATCTGATATGAGATGTAAAAAAAAACAACTCTGGTTCTCTATTAAAGGAATTGACATGTTTTTGAATTTTTTTTTTAATGACAGTTACTAATCCGCCAGTTACATGCATTTCAATGTCATGAGCACTTTTAGAATTTGATTTCCGGTCAGATATAAAATATGTCGAATTAGTAAACCTCAACTGAATAAAAACAGGAACAGTACCGAACAAAGCACTTCCCGATACTCCCAAAAATATTCAGGCTACTTTTTCTGATCTCAATCGATCATTTTCTTATAAAAGACGATGATCAACAATAACTAAGCAAGGGTTTGCACCTCAGATTTACCCTCATGTAAAACAGGTGTGTTCCGTATTGCTCCATTCTGAAAATATTTCGTCTTTTTGGATCCACAGCATAACCTGCAACATAGAAAGTGGTTAATAGGGCTTTATACAGAGAAAACACACAGTAAATGGCACAATACCTTCATACCCCATTTATAACTCCCTTACTTTATTCTATTTTCATCCATCGTAGTCAGCTTTTATTTGTCCGAAGTTGCACAGTATGAAATGCTTCTCTAGCAATATTTGGGTTACATATGCACATTTCTTACATAATTATATTTCCTTGTACGAAGACATAACCTACTCCGACTTACTATATAATATACAGGCTTCTTGGGACATTTGACTAAAGCAATTCAGTCAAGAACTTTGGAAAATCGGACATACCCCTGACATTCTTGCATTTGCTCAACTGTTTCTGGAAGATCTTTGTCCAGGGTTTCCGGAAGGAAAACATTAACCACGGAGGCTTCCCATTAAGATATAAGGTAGAACCTTATTAAATGTACCTGGGAATAGCAAAGGTTAGATCAAATACCTTTGTTAGTGCATGGTATGGTATCACTTCATTGTAGAGAATATTAAGTGACTTAATGAATTATTAGAACTCTGAGGAAGTAACGCTGCACATTTTGTTACCTAGATAGATGACATACGGAGCTGTGATACTGCCAATGCGAGCAGCAGAGGAACACATTCCCATGCCGACGTTCCTTAGAACAGTGGGGTAAATCTCAGCAGTGTAGATGTACACAATGTCACGGGGTAGATCTTAGGGGAGGACTCAGTCGTGGAGATTCATAAACAGGGTTTATTGGAACAAAAACACACTCAGGAGTGGATGGCAGACATGGATCAAAACAATTTTGGCAAAACTATGAGCAAAGTAACAAAGCAAGGTTGACAAAACTGTGGCAAAGTATCAAAACAAGACAATGGCAAAAGTACAAACAAGATTAACATGGCTGTGGCAAAAACAAGGCTATGACAAAAACGTGGCTATGGCAATAAAGTTAAAAAGGCTATGACATGGCTATGACAAAAATCAAACCTGACGTGGCGAACGGTGACGGAAAACTCACAAAGACGAAAGACAAAAACACACTGGCACAGGACATGGGAAACGAGGACTTTTTAAACACATGAGGGAGGGGAACCCCAGGTGTACACAATAGGTAATCAAGACATGACGAGACACCAGACATTCCTCCAGACGTGACAGAGCCCCCCCCTCAAGGGACGGCTCCCAGACGGCCCTAAACACACATGAGGACCACGGGAGGGTGGGGGGGGGGGGATCAGGAACAGACACAAGGCATACTCGGCGTGGGACTCGGCGTGGGACTTGGCGTGGGACTTGGCGTGGGACCAGGTTGGCGAGCCCCCCTTAGGGCTTGCACATCGGCATGGACTTGGAATGCGTGGTCCTGGAATGGCTCATGGGCATGGCAAGGGAATGTTCTTCGTGGCATGGGACTTGGCATGGTGGCTATGCGAGCCTCCACCGGCTTGCTCATCGGCATGGACTTGAAGAGCGAGCCTCCTTGGGCTCGCTCATGGGTGATGACCGGGTGCGCGAGTCCCATAGGGCTTGCACATAAGCATGAACTTGGATGCGTGGACCTGGAACGGCGAGCCCCACTGGGCTCGCTCACGGGCATGGCAAGGGGACGTAGATCATGGCGTGGGCGTGGCGAGCCCCCCTTAGGCTCACTCACGGGCATGGCAAGGGGACGTAGATCATAGCGTGGACGTGGCGTGGCAAGCCCCCCTTAGGCTCGCTCACGGGCATGGCAAGGGTACGTAGATCATGGCGTGGACGTGGCGTGGCAAGCCCCCCTCAGGCTCGCTCACGGGCATGGCAGGAGGAGGTTGACCTGCGAGCTGGCCTCGGCTGCCTCCTGGGCATCGGTAAGGCGACATGAGCCCCCATGGGCTCTCTCATTGGAGCGGAATAGGGGAGGCCATCACCGTCGCCGCCGCTCCCTCCAGGTAAAGGCCCCCCTTGGGGCCTCCCTGCCTCCTGGGCATCTCCGCTGAGTCCACACTGGCCAGTGTGTTCTGTCACGGGGTGGATCTTAGGGGAGGATTCAGTCGCGGAGATTCAGAAACATGGTTTATTGGAACAAAAACACACTCAGGAGTGGATGGCAGACATGGATCAAGACAAGGTTGGCAAAACTATGAGCAAAGTAACAAAGCAAGGTTAACAAAACTGTGGCAAAGTATCAAAACATGACTATGGCAAAAGTACAAACAAGATTAACATGGCTGTGCCAAAAACAAGGCTATGGCAAGGCTGTGACAAAAACGTGGCTATGGCAATAAAGTAAACAAGGCTATGGGATGGCTGTGCCAAAAATCAAACCTGACGTGGCGAAGGGTGACGAAAAACTCACAAAGACGAAAGACAAAAAGATGAAAACACACTGGCACAGGACATGGGAAACGAGGACTATTTAAACACATGAGGGAGGGGAACCCCAGGTGTACACAATAGGAAATCAAGACATGACGAGACACCAGACATTCCCACAGAGGTGACACACAATGCTGAAGGCCATGGTGAAGCCAAACTTTCCCGTCATCTCCAGTGCAAGAGCAACATAATGAAAGGCTGCGAAAGAAAGACAGAGAGTTAAAATGACATTAAGATGATTTTGGATTTTGTCATTTTTTCATTGGCAATATTATAAAAAAAAAAAAAAAAAGAAGAGGAGAGACAAAAGTCAGTCAGCTTAAACTAAATAGTCAAATCTTCAAAAAAGAATAAATGAATTGTCTGTAAAGCGTTCAACTCAGTAACATTTGTGTGACAAAGTTAGGGTAAATAGATAATTGTTTAGTCTCAAATTTACCATTTTGGTTGTAAAAATCAGATGATGATAATAAATGACACTGATTTAAAAAGTGGGCAAAAACAGATTGTTGCGTCAAAGGATTTGATTACTTTCAGAGCAAATCCAGGCAAATCATGTGGTGAGTAGGTATGGTGGCCAGGAGGTGAGGCTTCTCTTTTTTTTATCTAAAAAATATATTCATATTCATCTGTACATTTAAATGATATAATGTCTACGGATCTAAGTTCACTTTTTAAAATTATTGTAATTTTCCTTTTCCAAGAATAAAAAGTAAAGGTTTGTTCTAATGAGAAAAAAGTCAGAGACCAGAGAATTTATGCGGCTCATTATAGACAATATGTGGTTGGATACTCTTCTGTTCTATGCCCTTCTATCTTGTTTTGTCCACATTGTAAAGTGATCTTCATAACCTAACTCCAGATGTGTTTAATTTTGATTCCCCACGTTAAATTGAAATAATAAAAAAAACTAAGCTGAAGAAACAGTTAGTCCTGCATGAGTAAAGATCTGCAGTTCTTTTAGCAGTTGTGATGTTTTGGATGTTTTTCACCTAGTTTAATGTTTAAAAATGTTTAAAGACTCAACTTGTGCTTATGTGGCAAATTAAAGATTTTTTTATTTTGGAGATCGAAAAGAAAGAAACTCGGAAGAAACAATACAATGTCTTTGACCTGTTTAGACAAAGCATAATTAGAAGCACAACCCTTCTTCTTTTCTTTGTGTTGTGAGTACAGTTTTAAATCCCCATAAACCACCTATTACTCTTCGTCATATTTATTCCGCGTCTTATAATTAGGGGGGCCACGCCTGCGGCATGGCCCACCTCGGTGGGCCTAGTATTACTCTTCGAAATACTTATTCCGCTCCATATTATTATCGTTCTCCCGTTTCCGCCCGAATTTCGGCGCGTAACTCGTCGCGCACGGTTCCGCGGATCGGGCCCAAAACCGGCATGCGCGTCCGACCCGACCACGGGATGCGTGCTATTTCATAACTTTCTCAAAGGAGCGGGCGTTTCCGAGGAAACGGCGAAAAAGTGGCGAGCGTTTTCCCATAGGAATGCATGGGGGACGCAGAAAAAAAGGCACAAAAAAAGCCGAAAGATGAGGCCCGTCAGGGCCTCATCGCTCTGGCCCACGACGTCCGAGAGACGTCGTTCGAACATTGAACGGGACACGAAAGACGGGCCTCCGCCATATCGGAGCCACGAGGCCAGATCTCGCACCGTTTGCCCGCAATCGCTGTTGACGTTTTAGTGAAATTCAGAAAATCTGAGATCCTGGCCCGCACTCTAATTCAGCTCGTTAAGAGCTCTCAGAGTCCAGTGGGGAGGTTCACTGAAAAAAAGTCAAACTATGGTCCCTCGCGACCAATCCGTGGGGCTGAGCGGTGCCAAAATGGCCTCAAAACGTAGCTGCAGGTGTCCTCTTTCAGCCGATGTGCCCGGTGTGGACCTCGGCCTTACAGTTCTCCGGCAATCGGGCCCAGAGTCCAGACATTCCCAACCCTCTCCAATAGGATTTTAATGGAAGAAAGGAGAGATTTTTTTTCACCAGAGACAAAATGACCCTCATTTTGAAATTGCCATAAAAAAATAACCGCTGGGAGCAGCCGAAAATAAAATACATTGGATTCGACCTTAAACTCTGTAGGCGCTCACGGTCCAAGAATTTTTAAGTTTTGTGATATAGTTTTCGAACAGCGTACAGCCGTTCGGAGGATACTTTTGATCCATCTGTCAGTTAGGTCTGTGTCAGAGTGATGAGTCACAGGTGTGGCAGTTTAGAATGTTCAGAATTGGCACCAGGCTGCTGTCGCCGTGGCGACCACCAGAGACTCACAGCAGCCCTGTGGGTCTCTGCAGGGCTCTGTGAGCTGTGCTCCTGGCAAAAAGCGGGCGAAGCCCGCTTAGAAAGATTTAACTAAGACAGTGATACTGGCAAAAGCGGGCGAAGCCCGCTCTAAGTGATTTTTTAAGAAATACTGTATTTTTTGTTACTGTGGTAATGTGGCCTCGTTTTTCCTTTTGAGTTCAAGTTATGTTTTCTATATTTGTTGCTTAGGATTGTTATGTTTTGAAGTGTTTATTGTTGTGTTGCATGTTTTTGAGGTCACGTGCCACGCGCACCCGGAGACGCCCACGGCATTAGCACAGGTGTTCCGCATTCTGATTAAGCAGCGTGCAGACTGGGACTGGCATAAAATCATCAATGGTGAGACATCTAGGACGCAGAGGCAGACGGACTTGGGTTCTTTTTGTGGAGGACGGCACGAGCAGGCTCCGGGAACAAGCGACGAGAGGACGGGTTGCCAGGAAGCGCCATCCGTCGGGTTGCTGTTAGAAGCCGCGAGTTACTCCACTGGTCGCCGTTGAGGAGCGTGTGGCCGGCTGGAGGAGCCGTCGGGACCAGGGTGCGGCTGAGGTTCATCCGAGGCTGGAGCTAAGCATCTATTTTATAGACTCGTTTTGGACTTGTTTGACAGGGATTGCCTGCGCCTCCTCTTTCTTTTGATTTCCTGTTTTAAAATAAATTATTGAAACTTTTATTGGTTGTTGGAACTCTATTCACAATCCCTGCTCGTTTATATCGGGTACTCCACTCGGGTGCCACAGAATCTGGCGTTGTTGGCAGGATTGCAGGATTGTGAACGGTGTTTTAATAACTAAAAAAAAAAATGATGATGCCTATTTATCCCGGTGCCCCTTGGATCCCTAAATTTGAAGGGCAGGGTGACAATACTAAATATATTGAGTGGAAGGAGCAAATGCAAGGCCTTTTAGATACAAATGACTTACCTGAATTACACAAAGTAAAGATTTTGATTGGTGCCTTGTCTGGGTTGCCCAGACGTCAAATTAATGTGCTCTGTGATAATGAACGTGATAAGGTGACAAAAGTATTTGCAGTACTGGATGACTTGTATATAAAAAAGGTTCCAGTTTCTGCTTTACGGTCACAATTTTTTGGTTGTGTGCAGAAACCGGGTGAGTCTGTGCAGGCATATGGACTCCGGTTGAGAGAGCTGTATCGAAAATTACAGAAACATGACGAAACGGAAGCACCCACTGATACCCACCTTAGGGATCAATTCCTGCTTGGCCTGGAGGATGGTGCCATGCTGCAGATGTTAAAGCGAGTTGTGCGTCTGGACCCTGATGTGACTTTCAGTGCTGTCCAACAGGAGGCTCTTCTATTGGAAGAAGAACAAAGTCCAAAATGGCCTGAAGTGACATGTGCTGCGGTAAGGGACCCTAATGCTGTTCGATTTCATCAACAGAGTGACTTGTGGAAACAGGAGCTGAAAAGGGAACTCATGGAGGAGGTGAAAGCCCAAATGAAGGACCTTGCTCGTGAGTTAACCAAAGACCAGAGATTAATGGGTTCCGTACAAACATCAGTTCGTCCCAGGACCAGCTCTCCACACCCCCGGGGCAAACGGCACCAGGATCGTCACACCAGCTACCGATGGGACGAGGACGGTAGGCCTATTTGTAGGGTGTGCAAACAACCAGGTCACATAGCCCGATTTTGCAGAGAGTCCTCTGTGAACCAGTCAGCTTTAAACTAGCACACCCTACTGTCGAGGCCCATGCAGTGGGGTTAGGTAAAAAAGATCAAAGGGCCACTACCAATTTAGTGGGGAATTGCCCATATGTGGATGTGTCTGTGGGAGGGATTAGTTTGGAGGGACTTTTGGACACTGGCTCACAAGTGACACTTATGCAACAGAGCCTGTTCCTCGAACATTTTCCTGATCGCAATGTTAATAATGTCCCCACTTACATCCAGCTTAAGGCGGCAAATAGCCTTAAGATCCCCTGTATAGGCTACGCTCTAATGGACTTTAAGATCGGGGGTGTTGATATTAACCAAAAAGGTGTTTTCATAGTGACTGACGAATGCTCTACCAACCCCTTCATCATTGGCATGAATGTAATTAGACCCTGCTGGGATGTGGTGTTTCGTAACCCTGGGCAGCCTTTGTCCTTTTGCTGCCGGAACCCGAGGTCTCAGCGAGCATGGCGGGAGGCTTTCTCCCTTTGTCGGAGAATAACCGTCACCACGGAGGATGAATTTATGGGATACGTTTGGCCAGCCCAGCGACAAGGGGTCAAGATCGCAGCAAGAAGTGAGGTGGTGGTCTGGGGACGAGCCCGAGCAGGACCAGCAGGGGGAGACTACTGCGGCCTAGTGGAACCCCTGGAGGAGCTTAACACTGTCTCGGTGGGCCGTACCCTCGCTGTCATCAGAAATGGTAGGCTCCCTGTTCGTCTGAAAAATTTGAATAATTTTCCAGTTACCCTAGGGCGCTACCAAAAGATTGGCCGCCTCTATCAAGTCGACGACGTGGATATCCACAGGGGTCGAGATGTTGACCTGGCTGTTGACGACAGTGGCGTGGTCCAAGTCGGGCTGGTGGAGGCTGTGGAGTCCCCAGAGGAGAGCCGAGGCTTCGGCCTACAGAGGCTAGCTGAACAACCGGATTTAACATCTGCCGAAGCCGGTAAGCTGACCACCCTGTTGCAGAAATGGGAGAAGGTGTTTTCTAAACACGATGAGGATTTTGGTCGGACGGATGCCGTCAAGCACACCATCCCGACAGGAGATGCATGCCCTACAAGGGAGAGATTTAGACCACTGCCACCACTCATGTATAAAGAAATGAGGTCATTGCTAGCAGACATGTTGGACAAAGGGGTGATAACTGAAAGTTCCAGCCCTTGGGCTGCACCCATTGTCATGGTCAAGAAAAAAGATGGAAGCTGGAGGTTCTGTGTCGACTATAGAAAACTGAACTCTGTTACGCATAAGGATGCTTTCCCCCTCCCTAGGATTGAAGAGACTCTAACTTCCCTTTCCAAGGCAGAGTGGTTTTCTACTTTAGACCTGGCCAGTGGATATTGGCAGGTCGAAGTTGACCCAAAGGATAGAGAAAAGACTGCCTTTACTACACCTGTGGGCCTTTTTGAGTTCCAGCGCATGCCATTCGGGCTCTGCAATGCACCGGCGACCTTTCAGAGACTAATGCAACAATGTTTAAGTGGTCAGATTGCTGAGTCTTTACTTGTATATTTGGATGACATAATTGTTTACTCACCTAATTTTGACGCCCACCTGCAGCATCTGGAAGATGTCTTCACGTGTCTGTGGAAGCACGGCCTGAAGTTGAGACCTGACAAGTGCAAATTGTTTCAGAGAGAGGTGAGATTCCTGGGCCATGTGGTCAACCAGAGGGGAGTTATGCCTGATCCAGACAAGGTGGCCGCAGTTACAGAGTGGGCCGCCCCAAAGTCCATTAAAGAAGTGCGGGCGTTCCTGGGCCTGGCTGGCTATTACAGACGTTTTATTAAGGGGTTTGCTAAAATTGCACGCCCACTTAATTCTCTGTTAACAGGCATTCCTACTGATAAGAAACATGGCACCAAACTAATTGATTGGACATCAGAGTGTCAAACTGCGTTTGACAAACTAAAAGAGGCGTTAACTCAAGCACCAATACTGGCCTATGCAGATTACACGCAGCCTTTTAGCCTGTACACTGATGCTAGTAATCATGGATTGGGTGCTGTACTGGCACAAAATCAAGAGGGGGGAGAGCGAGTAATCGCTTATGCCAGTCGCAGTTTGCATCCTGCGGAGCGAAATGACGCAAACTACAGCTCATTTAAGTTAGAGCTCTTGGCACTGAAATGGGCAATCACTGAAAAGTTTAAGGACTATCTAACGGGTGCCCAGTTTACAGTGTTTACTGACAATAATCCAGTTGCCCACCTTCAAACTGCCAAACTTGGTGCTGTGGAACAAAGGTGGGTTGCTCAGTTGGCCTCGTTTGATTTCGAGGTGAAGTACAGAGCAGGAAAGGAGAATGCGAATGCAGATGCATTGTCCAGATTCCCAAAGCCTACAACCAACAATGGCTGCGCTGTGGCAGCTGTAATGGCTACAGAAGACGTGGCTTCACTGGAGCTGGGGGAGGACTGGCAGACCTTACAGGGGGCGGATCCAGACATACAACAGGTACGAATGTATGTGGAAAGGGGGAGAGCCCCAAACAAGACTCAGCAGGCAATTCTAAGTGAACCTGCGAAAAAACTGCTTAAGCAGTGGAGAAGACTCTGCATACATCAAAAGGTCCTCTGCAGACATGTGTTTGACTCTCATGAATGTGAGCCCCGTTTCCAGATTGTGTGCCCAGATTCCAAGCGTCAGGAGGTCTGGAGGAAATGTCATGAAGCTACAGCCCACACAGGAGTGGAGAAGACCCTTGCTCATCTGAGGCGCCATTTCTTCTGGCCAAGCATGGAAAAAGGGGTACAGGGTTTTCAGAATGGGTGTGTCGTATGCAGTCTACAAAAAGACCGTGTAGAACCATGAGCTCCTCTCAAGCCGATAGCAGTGTCTTACCCTTTAGAGGTAGTAGCTCTCGATTTCCTCTCTTTGCGTCGGCCGAGTGATACTTATCAAAATATTTTAGTAATGACTGATATGTTCACCCGTTATTCATGGGCCGTTCCTACACGTGATCAAACTGCTCAAACGACTGTTCGTGCAATTTGGTCTCATGTCATCCAACCGTTTGGTTGTCCGGCGCGGTTCCATTCTGACCAGGGACCAAATTTTGAATCAGAACTTATGAAAGAGCTGTGTAGCTTCTATGGCATTTCTAAAAGTCGCACTACCCCATATCACCCGGCAGGTAATGGGAGAGTAGAAAGGATGAATCAAACATTGTTAAGCATGCTTCGTACACTTGAGGTCGAAAAGCAGAGTAGGTGGCCAGAGCATTTACCCGAGTTGTTGCATGCTTATAACAATGTTATTCACAGTGCTACTGGGTTTGCTCCATCGTATCTCATGTTTGGTCGTCATCTTAGGCTCCCAGTCGATTTGAGTTTGGGTGTGTTAGATGCACAACCCCGTCGAGACTTGCAAGGGTGGGTCTTGGAACATCATCAGAAGCTGTCTCATGCTTATGAGGTAGCCCGGGATAAGATGACTAGGGCAGCAAACAATGAAAAACGGTGTTATGATAAGAAAGCCAAAGCTAGTGTGCTTCTCCCTGGGGAGCGTGTGTGGGTCCGTGATAGAAACAGACAAGGACAGGGGAAATTACACAGTTGGTGGGACCCAGAGCCATTTGTAGTTGTGGGTGTTGTTGGGGATACAGGTGTGGTTTATCGTGTCAGACCAGAGAAGGGTGGGAAGGAACGAACCTTACACAGAAATGCTCTGAAGACTTGTATTGCTCCTTCCACCGACGCGCTTATAGAGCAACTTCCCGTCGAAAAGCCTGAACCGCCTTTAATGCTCTATTACCCTGTAATTAATGAAGAACAAGTACTGCGCCGCTCTACACGCTCTACAAGAGGACAGTGTCCTTCTCGCTATGGGGAGTAAATGTCGGCCGGGACTGGCCTTGTTAAAGTATGGGGGGGGTGTGGTAATGTGGCCTCGTTTTTCCTTTTGAGTTCAAGTTATGTTTT